CAAAGCAGAACCGAATAAAGCAGTTAGATTATAATTCATGTGCAACGGTGCTCCAACGACGCACACAAACGATACGCTCACGAGGACGGTCGATCGTACATGCGAGTGAATTGAAATTAGCCACCGTTCATTTGTCGCTTTCGGCGTCCCCTAAATTATCGTACATATCCGCACCTGCCTCACACAGAACGGTGCCGGTAATTTCTAATTCAACTTGCGTCAGCGAGATGATATTTACGCGCTACCTGTGTGATTAAGTTAAAAACTCCCGCGACGTAAGAAACTCGTAATGCTGATCTTCGATAAAAAAAATAACGTCGCGTCTTTGGGTAACGATTTATCTCGAGGCATCTCGTGTCTTTTCCCGCATTTTTCTAAGAATGCTAAACCGACCAACCGGACGGGCCGGAGATTATAAATCTGAACGTAATTATCGATCGTAATTGCCGACTTATCGCGAGAAAACTCGCGTTTCGCTGGTTACGAACATTGTTGTCGCGAGTGCCCCGAGTTATTTCGCGTTTGGGCTCAATGTTCAAGACGAGACCGGACATTGGACAATGATGAAAACAAGCCGGTCAACAAGGCGTCGAAAGCGTATTGAAACGAGCGAACAAGCGCGCTCGACCGTTACGTAAACGCAAATCGACGGAGGCCTGCTCGTCGAGCTCGCCGGCGCACCGTTAGAGACGAGGCACGCATCCTATTGTTTTCCAGCCACCGGGTACATAGCGGCACTAATTCGATTTTATTGACGCGCGTGCTCGCGAGAACGCTCACGCGACGCGCTTCTCGCCTCGTGCACGTGACTACCACGTGGTGCGAGCATGTGCTGCATCCGAGCGGCCGAGTAAAAATGCCACGCGTAGCTCGCGGTTTCGCGACCGACGCGAAACGCTGCGCGAACGAGGGACTGCTCGAAACACGTGTTGCACGCACCGTTCTCGTACGCGTACAGCCGGCCACGTATGCGTAAAGTGTAAGGAAAAGAAAGAAAAAAAGAACCCTGAGGTTAAGAACACTTTTAAGTGTATAATGGTAAAAAAAAACATGAAACTAGCAAGTTTTACATATTGCTTTGAATTTACAACGTTTAAGTTCTTAATAAGAGAAAGAGAGAGAGAGAGAGAGAGAGAAGCGTTAATGATTTTGTTTACACCGCAACGTTAATCCGATGTAGTAACTATCGTAGTTAGCGAACTCTCGCATTTAATTGGAGTATATTTTTAAACCTAAAAGGATACACCATCAGATGCAAGAGTTCACTAACTACGGCTGTTGCTAAACCGGACTAACGTTGTCATATAAACGTAGTCATTAAAAAAGTAAGAATTGGCTGAATATTACGATTATCCTTTGCTATCTTGTCGCTGATACGCGGAGATATAAGTTGCGTTAGAACGTTAGCGAAAAACCGGTCGTTCGAAATTTTTGTAACAAAGGAAAGAGAAAGAGAGAGTTGCTGCCTTTGTGTCGTACAAATGTCAAATCAACCGTCCTTGATCCGGCGAATAATTCAAAATATTCCGGAATTGAGGCGTGAAACAAAGCGTTCACATCGCGCCCCCGTTTCACAGGAAACTTGCGACGAAACTTTCAATTTGTCTGGCCACGATGAGAAAACATCATTCTCGAGAAGCCAAGAGCCGCAGTAACGTTTATCTACTACGAGCCAAGGCGACTTTTGCGCTTTTATCTTACACCGGTTGGCAACGCATCATCGTGTGATGCATTGGCAACGTGTTGACAAACAGCACGACGCATCGGCTCCTGCGGTTCGAGGGAATTCGCGCTTGTTCATCACGGAGTCGCAACGTCAACGGAGAGCGATGAGACGAAGAGCACGCGCGCGTTTAAAATCACTATCGTTCAACGACCGGGTCGGCCTTTGCAAACATTGCATAATCACCTGCTTAATTCCGCTCGCGAAAGGAATGCGGCTCGCAACGCAGTGGCGCCGAGCAAGGTGCCGGTAGTTAAATGAGTATACGCGGTTCACGAAGCCGAGATAAGAGAAATGAGCCACCGGCCTTGACATTTCGTTCTCGTTTGAAGGATCCTTGCAAAGTTACCGTTGCTCCGAGGAGACAATCGCGTGTCTGTAAGGCGTTTGCGCTTCGGAAATTACCCGTGTTTCAGTAATCATTATTTTCGCGACGATGATTTCGTTCTCTTCAGATTATTTCTGAGTGAATAATCGCGTCGAGAGTCGTCGATCTCTCCCCGAAGTGTCAAAATGACAGAACGTCCTTCTCAGTCTTCACTTTTCAACTCGCCCCGTCTCCGACTAACTGCATAATCGCAGACCTGCACGTCTTTACCGATGATGATAAAGAAGATATGTAATTGTGACGATCTTTCTTTCTCTCTCTCTCTCTCTGTCTTTTTATCTCTGATAATACGTGCGGTAACTTCTTTCAAGTGCACTCGATTGTATCTCGAAAGGTCATCCCGTATCGACTATATCGTGCACTTGCGATTTCATGCATTGCGGTCGCCGCAACAGCAGACGGGAAAAAACGGCGACAGAAAGACGGAAATAATTAAATTGTAGTCCAATCAATAGGTATGGAGAGATGACAAAATTCCAACCCGAAAACAAAAAATAGGATCGTATAGGAAAAAAAATTCTAAAAAACATTTCTATTTCATGAAACTCGAACGCAATTGGCGAAATTGGCGAAAAAAATTCGCAAAGTTTGAAAAAACGGTTTTCCGAAGATAGAAAAAAAACTATAACTCCGATAAAAAAAAGTACATGACATAGTTGTAGGTAATAAAAAGACCTTTCAATTAATTTTTTGTAAGTCTCGATCAAGATGTAAATTATCGAGATATATCGAAAAAACCGTCGAAAATAGCATTTTTTCTTTTCGCTATGTCTTTTTTAATTTTATATATATCCTCTCGATACTTGGTGGAAATATAGTTCGTAGCAAGTAGAATAAGTACAAATTTCGAATTTTGAAAAATAATCTTTAGTTTTCGAGATATTTTATTTTGCGAAAAAAGGCGTTCTCGAAAATTGGCCACTCTTGCTCTAGGGCTGATCGTAAAGTAACGATCTTGAGCTTATTTTTTTCTCAAAGACTTGTACTTTCATGCTATTTTACGTTTATAACGATTTTTTTATTTTTTAATACTAAAAAATGACTTTAAAAATTTTGTTTTTTTTCAATCACGTTTTTTTGCTATATTTTGTTCAATTTTTATTTTATTGAATTGGCTCTAGCCCAAATCGATTGCTGGCATTTTTTAACGAATTAAAAAAAAAATTGATCTACGATCATTTGGAGCCGAGATAGTTTTTTTTTTTCTTTAAATTCCTCTATCCACAGTTTTCATCCTGCGGTATTGGCCTTGTAGGAGATTACTTTAAAAGTTATATTTTAAGAAAAAAATAATTTTTTTCATTTTGTTAATGATTAGCATTAATAATCAAGTGCGAAAGTTGAGCGCACGAGCGGGGCGCGCGCCTACTGCTGCGGACGAAGGAGTGGGGGTAGCCGAGCTCACCCGTCCCGATAAACCGAATTCTCTCGTTCGATATCGCTCGCACTCGAAAAATTTTTCATATCTTTACTCCTATTTGACGCACAAAAATCCTTTTGTACTTTTTTTGGGGTAGCTGAACGAGAGAAACATAAAAATGATAGTTTCAAACTCTTCATAAGCCAAATAGTCATAATAGTAATGTTATTTTCATAAACATTTTTATTTTTTATGTTTTTCGGTTTATTAATGTACATTTATCAAAAAAAATAAAATTATCGTCAATGATTATTTTCGTATCTTGGTAAATAATTATGTACAGTTCATGAATAAATGAATGAAGTGTATAAAGATAAGTTTTAATATCATTTAATATATATAATTCATTACAAAAATTATAGAGAGTAATTTTGGTTAAAAGAATACTTTAACAGTCTTGACGTTTATGTTATTTATTTTTAAAAAACTAACTTTCTCTACGATCTCTACGAAAATAAAAATTGAAAAAAATATAGCAAAAAAACGTGACCAAAAAAAAACAAAATTTTCAAAGTCATTTTTTAGTATTAAAAAATAAAAAAATCGTTATAAACGTAAAATAACATGAAAGTACAAGTCTTTGAGAAAAAAATAAGCCCAAGATCGTTACTTTACGATCAGCCCTAGAGTAAGAGTGGCCAATTTTCGAGAACGCCTTTTTTCGCAAAATAAAATATCTCGAAAACTAAAGATTATTTTTCAAAATTCGAAATTTGTACTTATTCTACTTGCTACGAACTATATTTCCATCAAGTATCGAGTGGATATATATAAAATTAAAAAAGACATAGCGAAAACAAAAAATGCTATTTTCGACGGTTTTTTCGATATATCTCGATAATTTACATCTCGATCGAGACTTACAAAAAATTAATTGAAAGGTCTTTTTATTACCTACAACTATGTCATGTACTTTTTTTTGATCGGAGTTATAGTTTTTTTTTATCTTCGGAAAACCGTTTTTTCAAACTTTGCAAATTTTTTTCGCCAATTTCGCCAATTGGATTCGAGTTTCATGAAATAGAAATGTTTTTTAGAATTTTTTTTCCTATACGATCCTATTTTTGTTTTCGGGTTGGAATTTTGTCACGTTTAACATAGGGGCTGCGACAGATTGATTAAACTATTGGGCGCTTTTCATTTAGGTCCAACGTCGCACCAACGTCATTTCGGCTTTAACCGAGACTCAAGACTCAAGACTTGATATCTGTTGCACAAAAGTGACACCTAAAAAGTGTTCAATTTAAAGCCCGTCCAATTAATTAATTGATAAAAAACCAATTTGTAAGGTGACTGAAGATAATAATATAATAAAGTCGCAAACTGATAATGATAATGCACTGAAAAGAATATTATCGTCGCTCGATCCGACTCTGTGCAAAGTTAATAAAACACGCCAGGAATATACACACACACACACATATATATATATATATATATATTGGCCGAGCCCCAGGAAAGAGCGGAATTACAATTTCGCAGCCGATGCGTCGCACGGACCTGCACTTTCGCAGATCGGCTTTTCGACTCGACGGATCTTACCTCGATCAGGAGTCGTCGGTGTGCGCGATCAACGCCGTCCTCGTTGTCATCCTCGTCTCTGTCTTCATCGTTTCGTCCTTGTGCCGTGCGTATTATTCGGCTATGTCCGAGGAACTTGGAACGTTGCGCGACAGCCAGCCGCCTTCTTCGTGGTGCGACATCGCCAGCCTGTTTCCGGTAACTACTGCGCGTTACCTGCGGAATGGTCCGGATGTGAGATGTTTCCTTTAAGCGGGAAACAATGACAGTGTTGTCAACACGAAGCTGTTCGACGATAGTGCTGAAAAAAAAAAACAACGTTTCGCAAAATGTTATCCTGTGTAACGTTATGGCGAATTTGAAATTCGACATTACGCGAAATACGACGTCACCGTGGAAAATACCCAGAGTGTTTTCCCAAACGCTTTCACAGTGTTCAAAAAAACATCACATCCCGTCAGGATGACAATTGCGAAATCATTCGTAAAAAGTACTAGGCGAGACGAATTTCTAAAGAGTGTCTTGATGACGTCTGAGGGACGTTCTATTTCTTCAGATATCTGCCGGAGGTCTTTAACGAGTCTTTCGGAAATTTACTCCGACCTGGGGACCGGAAGCGTTCGAAAACTACGCATGTTTCGAAATATCGATCGAATGTTTCTCTATTGTTGAGTCAAGTTTGTCTTCGGTGTAAAAGTTACTCGAGTGACGTATTTGACGGCGTTCGCGTGTTGCGTCTGTCAACGTGAAATCGTTCTTGGCTTGGAAATTACCGAGTGTCGTGTGTATAATATGATAAATGCATCGTCATACCGTACCTTCCTGCCGAAAACAGAAGAATGGAGGGACAAGGTTAACGCGAGACGGGAGTGACTTGTGTCGTCCTCGGTGGGCGGCTCGCGAATTACAACGGAAGAAAACTGCGCGCAGTTGATAAAGCAGATTACCATCTTTTTGTTCCCGCGAAATCTTGTTCGAATCCCAGATGACATGAAGTCTAAAATCGGGGCATGAGATGTCTTTTAGGTGTCTTACTTGCAGCTCAAACAATATAAACGTTTAAAAAGACATCGTAGAGACGTCTCTGAAATATCGACGATTTCTGGGACGTCTCTAGGATGTCTTTTGGACATTTGTGTTGTGTTGGAGACGTCTTACATTCCGATTTTAGATGTCATGTTGTCTGGGATTGCATGAAGATTTATTTATATTAAATCGCGTTGAAAGGAGAAATTAAAACATTTTTGCGTAATTAACTTATACAGGGTGTAACCAAAATATGGGTTGTTATTTATAGAACTGATTCTAATAATTAAAATAATAAAAACAAAAAGCTATAAATATATGTCGGAAAAATTGACTTTCTGAAGCAAAAATTTTAAAGTTTCAAAGAAAGGCCCGTTTTTCTTCCAATTTTCTCGCAGAATTTTTCGTTTTTCTCTTTTTCACGGAAGAAGGTAAATTTGGTTTTCATCAAACACGCATGAATTTTTGCATCCTTAGGACGGAAACCGAGAAAATCCGCGGAAAAATGGTGAAGAAACGTGTTTCTTCCGTGACTTTGAACCTGAAGTAACAATCGACTTACATATCGCTCAATTAATGAATTAACTTAAGCGAGAATCACTGGGACAACCCGGATATCACACGTGCGTTCGAGCGAATTTGTTACATTATTTTTAGAATAGGAATCGAACCCTTGAATGAAAGTGTGTCACGTTTCTGTCGACGCACAGGTGTCGTCGGGTCACGGGAACGCAATAATCTGTGCAAATGCGGCACGTGTCTTCATCAGAGGCTTCGATCAACCGGTATGGCTGGATAATTGGATTAAAATCGCATTGAGAGATTAGCTTTTAAGGTCGACACAACCGGCCGAGTCGCGACTTGGTCACTCATTGTTGAAACGTGCGCCGCGAATGATGGATTTTACTCACACAAGGGTCTACCAGATCCTCTCGTCGATTTTGGAGCCGCTCGAATCCGAAATGACGGCCGACGACAATAACGTTACCGCAGACGAGGACGAGCGCGAGTGAGCCGGAGGCTTCAAACGTTACCTTTAATCAAGTCATTTCCAGAAAAGTCCGAACCAAAGTCATTTAAATTCAAAACATCGCCGGACAAATTGATAAATGTTTCACCTTCCGAATATCTTTTGAAATTGGAACTCGGTCTCGCGGGCGAGTGAATTGTCGAGTAAAAACCGAAGAAATATCGTTTCCCAATCGCAAGATGAAGTGCTTGAAACGCCGCTTCGTAACGTCGCCGGACGAATCGCGGCCCGGCAAGAACGTGCTGGACGCTTTCAGGGATGTAGAGTGCAGTGGGGAGTCGCGGGTGAAGAAAATTCGCGTAAGTCTCGGAAGCAGGAAAGGAAATAGAAGCGATTCCGGCTTCCTCGCCGAGAGAATCGCGCGTGATCCAGCGGAAATGCGCGAAAACAGGGCGTTGTTTCCTCCCCCGTGCTCCATTCTGTTCCTTTCTTCGCAGCGCGACAAGAATGAAAACGAAGCGCCTGTCGACTCGGTTTCTGCAGACCGAAATGCGAATTACTACGCCGATTGCGACACCTCGGTGTGGTTGAGGAGTTGCGAGCAGGAGGTGGTCGAACCGCTCGCCGGCGAGCTCACCGGCAACATCCCCGAGTGGTTGAAAGGCACTCTGTTGAGAAACGGGCCGGGTAATCTGAAAGTGGGCGAACACACCTTTCAGCATCTGTTCGACAGCTCGGCTCTGGTGCACAGGTGCGTCACGAAAGCACACAGGCAGAAAAAGTCAGAATTCCCGCAGAGAAGAAATGCTAGATTTAAGTGAATAATTACTTCAATATTTCCTAGAAAATTTTCACTCGGACGACGTGAATATTACCTTACACAGAGAAGAAGGTTCCTTCAGATTTAGCATTTCTCTTCATTTGACCAAAATTCGTTTCATAGAAACAACATATACTTTATTACGAAATATTATTCGTCTGAGTGAACATTTTACCGTCCCATTCGAGGAAACTCTGTTGTTTGACTGAAGAACGCTATTATTTGAAATGATATCTTTTAAACGGGAAATTCAGTTACACCAGGGGAATTGTTCTACTCGTGTATGAAAGGATAGGAGAAATTCGGTGAAAACGATGATCGATCCGCAGGTTCGCAATTTCGGATGGAAAAGTGACTTACCAGCGACGTTTCGTTCAGACCGAGGTGTACAAGAAGAACATGGCCGCTCAGAGGATAGTCGTGACCGAATTCGGCACCAGAGCCACGCCGGATCCCTGCCAGAGTATCTTCCACAGGTAAAGACGTTATTGAAATAAGAAGAAAATGCATTCTATAGGAGATAAATAATACACTCGTGACTTGATGTCGTTTCAATTTCAGGATAGCCGCGGTATTCAATCCAGGAGACATCTCGGACAATTCCATGATCTCGGTGTACCCTTTCGGTGACGAGTATTACACGTTCACGGAAGCGCCGATGATGCACAGAATCGACCCGAAGACACTGGAGACTATAGGCAGGGTAAACATTCGAATTCTTTTCTTTTTTACTTCGATTCCTCGCTCGATTCGCGTCTAAATCGATTTTTTCGTCTCAGCCGATTCCATGAACCAGTCTTCCCACATTCATACATTGAGAAAAAAATACTGAAAAATTTACTTGTGAGATATAAAGTTTATTTCACGGAAGTAAAGCTTATTTCTTTCCAAAACGAACTTTATATTCCACAAATGAATTTTTAGGTATTTCTTCTTCTGTGTGCTGTACTTAATATGAATATGTACCTGTAGACGTTTGTCGTCGGTAGAATAAACAATCTTCGTAACGTTTCCGCAGGTGGATGTGTCGAAATACGTAAATATCGTGAATCACACATCGCATCCTCACGTCATGGCCGACGGTACGGTGTACAACGTAGGAATGAGCGTGACGCCGTTCGGACCTCGATACAACGTCGTGTGCTTTTATCCTAGTCGTGTGACCGTTGGTGAGACACTTCTTCGCGGCAATATTCTCCCATCGGCGACAAATATCCGATTAACTTGAACTAAAATAACGATTAAGCACCATAAAAGAAAGAAAAAAAAAACAGGCGACTCCTCGAACGAAATCTTACAATATAATGTGATAATTATTCTCACTATCATGCCGTTTTCGCAGACGAATTTGGCGAAGAGAAGGAACTCTCCATGTTCGATCAAGCGACGATCGTAGCCAGCGTGCCGTGCAGGTGGATACTGAATCCATCGTACATGCACACCTTCGGCATCACCGAGAACTACTTCATAATCATAGAACAGCCGTTGGCCATCTCCATGGTCAACATGATGGTCACGCACTTTAAGCAAGAACCGATGCTCAACATCTTCAAATGGCACGAAAACGAAAACGTGAGGTCGACAACCTTGTGGCGAAATCGTCACTGACGATTTTCACCGATGTGAAATCATCAGCGATACGATGTTACTTTAACGTTTCCACTTGTTTTTCCATTATTTAGACGCTCATTCACGTGATATCGAGGGAAACGGGCGAAACGGCGAGGACGTTCGTCGCGGAGACGTTTTTCTTCCTACACGTGATCAACCAGTTCGAAACTCGCGACAAGGACTACGTCGTGTTGGACATATGCTGTTATCGGGACCCGAAGATGTTGGAGTGCATGTACATCGACTCGATGAAGGTACCCGCGCATCGCACGGAGAAAAATTCACAGGGACTGCACATTTTTTGTTGTCGTGGCGAGAAATAAATATACGGGGTGTTTCTTAATTACTGTCCGATGTCTTCGAGGTTGGATTTTTTTTACGAATGAAGTCATTTTACGAAGAAATGAACGCATGTTCATATGAACTTATCTTCATAAGATGACCTCAAGAATCAACTCGTAAACCTGAAAAATGAGTTTGATTGGATCTCTCGACAGCCAAAATGCGTTTGGTTATCCACCGTCAGGTAGATCCAACCAAACTCATTTTTCAGTGTAAAATATTGAATGGTACACCTGGTATATTTATTTATTCGCTACGACGGTGCAAAGTCTGCGTTCCCTCTGAATTATTTTTCTCCACAGAGTGAACGTTACGTGACGCTGATTCTCATCGCTCGCAGAACATGCACGAGAACCCCGATTACGCGAATATGTTTCGCGGCAGACCGTTGCGTTTCGTACTTCCGATGAGGCCACCGGCCGCCGACACACCGCCGGAACGCAACCTCGTCACGATCAGGACGGTGCATCAGAGTCTGGAGCTGTTTCGGAACGTCGACGACAAGTCGCCCGGCCACGACGCGGACAAACTCGACTTCGAATTCGTCAACGACTCGGACGTCGTCGTTTCCAGCGCCGACGACGTGAAGCGCAAATGGGACGAGCACAGGAACGCTCTGCGAAGGAAGCCGGCCGCTCACCTGTTCCCCGACGGCAGGATCTTCGTCAAGCCGGAGCTGCTCTGCGACCTGGGCTGCGAGACTCCGCGGGTGAACGCCGATTCCCACGTCGGCAGAGAGTATCGGTACTTCTACGCGATCTCAAGCGACGTAGACTTGGACAATCCGGCGAAGGTCGGTGTACATCCTGCCGACAGAGAATCAAGGACATCGTGTGAATGTGTAAAAAAAACTCCGTCTGTTTCATTACAGCTCATTAAAGTCGATACTTACCTGAAGACCAGGAAAGTATGGCAGGAGAAGAACGTGTTTCCCAGCGAGCCGATCTTCGTGGCAGATCCCCACGCGAAGGTAACGACGACCCACCGAACATGATGATGTATTAATGACGATTCTGACGTCATTAATACGTCATTAATAAGCGTTGCATTGAGGAGCGGAAGAAATTGAAGTAACTTCATTGTTTTGTTCCCATCGTCTAGAACGAAGACGACGGTGTGATCGTGAGCTCGCTCGTCTGGGGAGAGGAAAACGAGAGTCGAGTCGGCCTGCTGATCTTGGACGCCGTGACATTTACGGAAGTCGCAAGGGCAATCTTCGACGCACCAGGACCGGCGCCTAAGTGTCTGCACGGTTGGTTCACGCTGGATAAATAGTCGAACGCGGAGAAGAGAGAAAGTATCAAGTATAGTAACGTCGTTCGATTGAGACGATAGAAAGGTTGATTGCTTGGGTTCCCTTTTGAGAAGGGAGCGAATTTTTCATGTCGTGATATATAAGATCTTGCGAATTTCTCGGATCTTCGATCGATGATGTATCGAGGCATGCGATTGCTTTCATTAGTACCTCATGAAGCTCACGGAGCCTTTTTTTCAAGGCCAAATAGATAAGTGTACGTGATTATAATGTTATTGTAGGTATACGAAATATACAGTACCTGTGTATAGATTTAATTAGAATAAAGTGGCGTAACTGTGATCCTTATTATTGTATCCTGAAGGCATTTGATCTTTCGGTAGATTTGATCCCTAGCCATTATTTCAACAATCGAAAAATTTAATTTTTTTTTCACGTCGGCAGCAGTGTTCATTCTTAATTCTAGGAAACGTTAAATATCATCTCGACAGTTGAGCGCCGATAACAACATGGTGAGGAGGTCTTTTATTTTTTGGGATGCCGAATTCTTTCTTCGTAAATATTCGATTGTTCTTTAAGTTGTTAGATTTCATAATAAATGGATTAAAACTCCATAATGGAATGAAAAGTTGATTTTTTTTTAATACAAGCAGTAATTACAAGCAGAAATAAAACAGAATTTAACTAGCAGAGCGCGATAACAGATTTATTTGTTAACCTAATTAGATATAACTGGATTAACCTAATTAGATATAAATGGTGATCCGTTATCATGTTTTGCCAGCAAATCTTGTTTCAGCATCTGCTAGCAAACTGTCTAAATTGATAGCTGAGATAAATTGATAGATATTGCGCAGAATGTTTTGGTTGGTTCTTTATGATGGGTAATATTTGCTCCACATGCCTCGAATGAATCATAATCATTCTGGACGCAATGTTATCTTTACTTACTTATTATTCTTTACTTAATTATTCTATAATAATGTTGACTGATAAGTGTAACAAGACTAATACTTGTTATTTTATTTAACTTGTTCAATTCTACCAAAATCTTTAATAGAAATTGATTATGATTATTCACTATCTTTTATTAAAACTTGCTAATTAAAACATAGGGGTGACATGGCCCCCCGAATCAAGTCTTCCAGAATAGCTGAACCACTCCCGAGTTAACTGTCTCCGTTACATTGCCTTTCAGACGAATCGTATGTGTCTAATATTTTATCAGCCTGTTACGGGATCAATGATCAAGATATAGAATTATGGAAAGATTCCGAAGAGAAGAGTTAAAGAATTTGCAGTAAGAGAAACGAATTAGCGAATTATATACACTTCAAACTGTACAATAACTTCTATATATCATACGTTATTTTAATAATATATAAATTTCGTGTAAAAATTCCATTTAATTCTCGTATGTGTGTGTGTATGTACACTAAATGCGTATATGTTATATGTATAAAAAGTACAAAAATTACTATAATAGAAACAATTCGGTAACGAAAATCTTAAGAACATTATGGGTAAAAGCATTTTCATGTTAAGTACTACGTGCTTTATACAGTATCCGGCATAATAGCTTCATTTATTCAAGTCCAGTGATCATGAAACTTTTCGATCACGCGCAATCAATTTATATGTTCGTGCATCGTGATGTTGAGTATTCCAAGCGGCAGCATTATCTCGAGATAGTTTTGACAGTGACAGCTTTCAATATATAAAATAATATACATTCTTGTGCTAATTTAGAGTCAAATTAAGGAGAAGGAAGATAAATTACGATGGAGAGAGAAAATTTTAGCGGACCACAATGATATTGACCCTGCATTGTTAATTCCACAAAAGGAACAAATCCCAAAATCAGCAGGGAAAGTCTTCTCAGATACCGAGACTCGAAAGTCGCGGAAGGTTACTAGGCCTAATAATAAATGTCAAAGCTATTGTGCCGAGTGTTTACAACCTGTTGGAAAAGTTACAATCACAAGAATCGTATGAAATATTTGATTTCCTAGTGTGCACAGTTGCAGTTTCACTCTGCAGATGTTATTCGTGGTTTTTTCGGGTATATTTCTGTAGGAACAGCTGCCCGATTTGCCTCTTCCCGAGATCCGCTGCGTTTCCTTGCCTTTGGCGATATTTGTTTTAAACATTCCATATCGTTAAATACCACTTGTGCTCCGCCACCACTTGTTGGCAATATGTCACCCTGTGTGAAGAGAAATGGAAAACAATTTATGACGCTTCTCGATTGTTACTATAAAAATTATATAATGTGTGTGTGTGCATGCGTATATGTATCTTGTAACATATTTTACTATCAAACCTTGTATAATTTGGTTTCAAGTTCCCCATCTGTATCTTGCTCTTGCGCGACAAGACAATATTTGGATGCATCGTCAATTTCTTTCGGAGAAGTAAGTCGCGTTACGCTTCGTCTTCTCTTCATCAATGGCTGCAACACGGTGCCGAGTGGTACGAGTGCTCCAGGTCGATGATCAACCCACCTATCCGCACTTCGCGATCGTCTGTAGCGCGGATTCGAAACGGGTATGTTGTCCTGCATGCATACAAGAGAAAGCTCTCGTTATTATTTTCACTTTTCTTAACTTACATAATACGACTTCAGTTTACGATACTTCATAAAAAAATATAATTTAAATATAAATAACCTTCCGCGACTTTCGAGTCTCGGTATCTGAGAAGACTTTCCCCGCTGATTCTGGGACTTGTTCCTTTTGTGGAATTAACAATGCAGGATCAATATCATTGTCGTCCGCTAAAATTTGCTTCACCCATCGTAATTTATCTTCCTTCTCCTTCATTTGACTCTAAATAAGTACAAGAATGTATATTAATCTTTCAAGGCGCTGAAACTACAAATAAATTTTAAATACAGGATCAGAATAATTACTTGAAGGCGTTCACGCTGTTGACGCAGTTTTATTTCCAATTCTTTGTTCATCTTATCCGTTTCAGCTTGCATTTTAGTGTTATATTTTTGTTTTACTCTTTGCTTCTCCATCAAACGTTGATTCAATGCCAAATCGCGTTCTTTTATCTAGCAATCATCGTATAACAAATATCACATATCATACAATAAGTATCATATATCAAATATCATATATTTGAGTGGATAAATATAAGCACAATTAATTTACCTCTTGCTGTAAACTTCGTATCGTATCATTAGCGCCGTTTAATTTACACAGCAGAGTGTCGATTTGTGTTTCCGTTTTACAGAGATGTCCTTCTAATGCAGCTATCTAAAAATGTTTAATATACAAAATAATATCAGCATGTGTATTTTTATTTTCTTCGCGATATTATTAAAAAGATTTCCTTAATAGACAGATAAAAATTTACCTTTCTTTTCTGTTGTGAATTTGCAGCTTTCAGTGAAGCAGCTTCAACCTTTAAGTTTATATTCTCTTGCTCTACCGCCACCAACATTTTTCTAAAATCGTTTTCTGTGAATAAAATTAATATACATATTAGCATCTTATTTGAAACAATTGGAAAATTTATTCCTATGAAACTAAGTATCTCACGTTTTCTCATTAAATCTGCACGAAGTATATTGCGCTTATTAATACGTTGCTCCAGAAATTGTATCAAAGTAGGTATTACTTGATCATTATCCGGAGTAATGGTTTCCAATTCAGGGAATGGTCCGCCCAAACTGAAATATAATTAAATATTTCATCATATAATATACGATAAATTATCGAATTTCGAGAAATAAAACCAAGATTTCTTAAAATCACAGCTCTTCCTAAGTTATAACATACCTGTACACTAAACCTAAGTCAACTTCTAGATCGGCGGCTTCCGCTCGACCCTCTTTCTCCAATTTGCTTCTTGCTTCCTTGAATATCTGGAAAAAGAAAAATATGTCACTTTCTCTTCTCTCAGAAGAAACTGCCAAGAAAAATCAATCACAACTACTTGAGACTGTTACCTTATTAGCTTGTCTCCTGCCAGGAGTAAAACCAAGTTCCAATTTTGGAGCAGTAGGTCTTATAGTTTGCACTTCTTGGGTCATTTCCGCAAATTTCATAACTTGCTACAGACATATTAGAGGAATTAATATTGGTAGTTGCATCTCTTTTTTATAGAAAGATTTAAAATTTTCTTACGTACAATTGTCTCATCATAGTCGTCTGCCCTGGGATTTACACAAACTATCATTCTTACTTGTCCCTCGCCGTCGAAGTAGTTTTTAAACAAATGAGTGAGCTTAGAATCACGATAAGGTACCATCTTATTTGTACCTTGACTCTGATTCTCTCGCAAAATTTCCAGGCACGAGCGTAGAGTCATTAGAGAGTTATTGATATTACCTGAAAACGATTTGATGCTCGTATACGCAAATGCTTTCATAAATTTCACATATACGGCAGATAAAACGTCGTACCTGCTTCGCGCAAACGTTGACCGGTGTTCTTAGTGCGATTCGTTCGCTCACTACCTGCTAAATCAACTAGAGATAATTGACTTATGCACACGACTCGCTTATCCTGCATTACATGTTCGCCTTCGCAATCTAGAGGTGCCTGGAACATAAATGTAATTGCTCGTAAAAGATCTCTCTATCAAAGTTTGCCGCTCGGAATCAGTGTAAAACTGTAGATCCAATATTTAAGACCAAAAGAAATTCAAAGAATCGGTACCTGTACAAGTCGAATGGTAAAGACACTGTGAGATCTGCTTGATTCTGCATTTAATGCTGTGTGTGCCACCCGTCTTTTCCGTTGTCCACGTTGAAATATCTCGAAGGCTTCCTCCGCACTCTTCACTTCTATTTCGGTGACTGCATGTACATACATATTTTTGTTGCCATCCTCCCTGACTATTTTACTCTGCAGTGCTCTGCATTGAATGAGATAATTTAATATACAAAATATTTATCTTGTTAAAAAGTTTCTCTATAATGTATACTCACTTGGATCTAATGTCATCTTCATCCAACAGGTCGTATACGCTATTATTGTAGATTTCAACATATGTAACAAACACAGAATATGCATTATCTGAATCGATCGTCACAATTTGTGATTCATTCCGTTCGTGAGTTACTAATGGATTACTATCTCCATCACTGTCCACCTTGCGACTGTGAATTTTATGAATTAATAAATTATTATATAATCATATACAACCCCCTTATTATAAGAGATATTTACCTACTTTTACATATTAAATATAAACTTACTATTTTACAGACTTTCCACCTCTTTGTGTGAGACCTGCATGAAGCTCTTGCTGCCTCTCGAGCATAGCATCAGCTTCACTTTGCACATCAAAGCCATTTAACTTATCTGGCTTAAAGACAAATTTTTTTGTCTGATAATTTGCAATAGTATTAAAAATAACGTCTAAGCATCTAGGCATAATTCCACCATCTTGTGGTTCTCCAGTCATTGTGTATGTTTTTCCACTACCAGTTACACCATATGTGAATAGAAGACCGTTCCTTCCCTGAATAAGATTTTCAACAAGAGGAAGAGCAACCGTCTTGAATATTTCCTTTTGTGTTACATCAGGTATGAATATATGACTAAATGTTGTTTGTATTTCCTTGTTCATAGTCCTAAAATTAGTTGCTGATTCTGGCGGCGTTATGACTACTGTTGTGCTGGATGTAGGCCTCATGCATGACACATCTGACGACTGCATTGGCCGTAGACGACAATAAACCTGCACAGGATCCTTGGACAACATATTGGACCCTTTCGGTCGATTGATTGGCTTACGTGCTGGTGTTTTCGAACGTCTAAAATGTATAAATGAAAAATGTATTTATTTCGCAATGCAACAGTGCACATTTGTACCGAATTTTTGCATTTCGTAAAATACAGGAAAATATTCAAGGTCAAATATTCAAAATATTCAAGGGTATATTCAATGTCGTCGGTTGTTGATCGGTATCCCGCTTGAATAAACAAAACTAATTTTTACAATACTTACGCGGACTTCATTTTGATGCAAATCCAATTACTTTTCTATCAAACAAATTCGTGCCAGCGAAAATACTTCTCAAATTATAATGATTTATAACACCTCAATCGCCCGCAGCAGAAAGTCGTTGATCAGTTAAAAGTCAGTTGAAAGTCTTTCGAATCAAAACTCCATTCGATGCATTTTCAGCACTACCAACCTCGCCGACGTGAAATAAAGCTCGCGATACACGGTGCCCGTTTTCTTGCTGAATCGACGTTTAGTTCGAAAGTCTCCGTTACGAGCCGCCACTGTCTTAGTGCAGATTTGAGATCGTGTGCAATCAGCTGATGCTGCTTCAGCGATAAACATTGATAAATATGAAAAATAGTCCAAGTGGATAAAACGTGCTTTTGTGTCTAAAGAATTTCATGGGGAAAATATAGTGTACGTAACCAGTGGACAATTAATTTTATTTTTTCATAAAACAGTGTATTTTTTATATAAGTTATTTTTAAGTATAACAAAATTAAAAGTATGCACAGTGACCGTACAAAAAAATTTCTCTTGAATCAGTAACCGGTACTATCGCTATGGTCGAAGCAACTGGATGTGGTGAGTTGCAGCAGTTGGTTCAGGAGGAAGAATGCGAGGAACCACTCAGTAATGGAAGAGAAGCCACTCCTCCTTCAACACCAGCGAGATCTCATCGTCCAAGTAAAACTGAAGCACAAAACTCCAATGTATCGGTAGAATATTTTATCAATATGATAATGCACAGTCATCAGAAATATCTGCCTGCACGAATAACGACGATAAATAACGACGATATAGTTATCTGTTTAAGTAATATGTTTATAGCAACAAGTATTATGGGAAAGCAACACACAAATATCACCAATTATTAGCAAAGGTAGCTCTGGCCAAGCAACCAGTCAAGGTTCCATGGTTTCTGGTCGAGCTGCCAATACTTCAAGTCACACTTGCAACCAATCTCGATTGACGTATCTGAACGAAAAAGAGAAACAAAGGCCTAATCGGCCAGATCCACCGAGAATTGTCCGACAGCACAAAGGTAATTGGTATTCCACCTCAGGAAGATATATTAAGCGTATAATGTATTATTATGTTTTCTGTTTTCATTTTATGAGTACACACCAGCTCACACGTATATACATATATTTGCATATTTTCTTCATTGGTTGTGATTTTATAATTTTATTATATAAACCTAAACTCTGTAGTTATAATTTATATTTGAGTTCTTTGAGTTTTACTTTAAGTGCATGTTTTGTTTTGTTCTGGCATTGTTATGTAAAGCTATGGTGCCATGCAAACACCATTGCTTTTTGTCAGAGGTGCCTGATGTTCGTCATATGGAGCAAGCTTTGCTGCAATTATTGGAAGATTTTCACAGCGGTAATTTACGAGCGTTTGGTCGGTATACATAGGCTTGTCGGACAGATCTGCTGAATTGGTACGATTCTTAATCGGGCCGTTCATCATTTGTTAGGAAAGGATTGCAGCATGGAACAAATGACGGAAATACGAGAGCAGCAAGAGCGTTTGGCTAGGCTGCACTTTGAGCTAGGTCAGCGGCAGGAGGTAGCTGGAGACCAGTCAGGCCTTCGGCAATCCAGCGCCAATATGCGACATTTGCTTCAACGTCTCCAGCAATTGAGTTTCTGCATAGAGAAATTACATAGCAAATAATTGTCGCGCAATACATCATATATTGTTACAAGTTCTTATAATGGTACTTGCATTTATGACTATATAATATTTATACAGTTATAGTTTTTTGTTTTTCATAAAAAATATACCGATTATGCGAATATATAATGTGTAAAATATATATTTTACATTGCCCTACCTCGAGTTGTTACCTTACAGGCATGATTGTTATATATGAATGTATAATGTATGTTGAGAAATGTTAACATCACATCTTTCGTAAAGGAGTAATCTTTTGGTACGATTAATATTATTTTTAACGTGTGTATGTATATGCGCGTTTCATCAGATTATTCTAATAATTTATACGAGAATTACAGTAGAGAGAGATCACACGTTTCATCAAGTATATCATAACGATATGCGTTGCAAATGAATTGGTCTCGGTAAATACATTATATCTTACACATAAGTCTCATGTACATATATATATGTGTGTATATAATTAATATATAACTATTTATATAACGATATCACAAAAATAACATTTCTCGCTTGACTCGAGGAACATGTTATGATGCATTGTTTACGTTAAATCGAAAGGCAACAGGAAAGAGCTTGCGAAGCACGTATCTTCACAATGTTTTCTTTGTCGTTTAAGAGTTGCAACAGTCTCTGTATGTCCTCAGGTCTCGGAGAGCCGAACAATCCTAAAAGCAGCGCAGATGTAACTCTGGTTTGATGATTCTCCGATCTGGAGTATCCTCGGACGACGGCATT